GGGTCACTTAATTCTCTTCACTGCAATTTCCCCACCAATTTCTGGCATCCCCTAACATCCTCTTCCTGGCTGCCTCTCCTCACATCCTTCTCCTTTCAAATCACTCTCTTTTCTCTTTCCTTCCCCTTCCAGCCCTGTCAGTGCCCCTGGACTTGTCGGTCTTGGAGATTCAGATGTGGAGATGGAAGCCGGCTCCCTCCCCTCTGTCCGCCCTCTCTGCTTGTTTCCTTTTGGCTGCTGGGCCTGTTCATTGGTCACATCCCTCCTGATTATGAAACAGCCTGGGACCTGAGACCCTTTGCTGCAATGCTTGCACATGGACACATGTCTTCTCCAGCAACAAAGTGCAAAGAAATTGCATGGGTCCCAAAAATAATTTTGTGCATGTGCAGTTGGGGCCAATTCCAGACAAAGATACAAAGAGACCAAAAATCAAACAAACAAAAAAAACAACCCAACTACCACTTGTGAAGAGCCTGGAGCAAAAAGAGGAACTTGGGAGAAAACCAGGGTATTGAGCATGCCCCCTGCACACACCACCCCTCCATCCTGACCCCTGGAAACGTCCCTACCCTCACATGTGTTAGAAGCAAGCTTTCCCCACCTCCTCTGCCTCATGGAGCAAGCAAGGGAATCTGATACTTGTTCTCACTCCCCGCTATTTCTACAGGGGCCCCAATAAAGCCTTGCCTGAATTTCTCGTCTGGCCTCTAGTCAGTCTCCATTGATTGAGGGGCCAAGAACCCTGGTTGGTATATATTTTGTGGCGCCCAACGTGGGGCATTTGTCCCCTTCTGGGGAGAAGGTTTGGAAACTCATAGACCACCAAAAGCAGCTTCCCTGTGGGTGACAAGTGGCCATCTGACCCTCCTGTGTCAGCATCACCGAGTTTGGTAAGTCTGTGCCTGGCCCTGGGGACCCTCAGTCCCCTCATTCAGGCAACTCTCTCCCCCTCCGCTTTCCCTTTCCCTCTTTCCCGATCTCTCCACTTTTCTCTCGGCCCTGTGCCCTCACTGTCCTCTCTTATTCCTGTCCTTCCGAGAGGGTGGCCATCAGGCAGCTACAGCAGCCTCAGCTCCTCTCAGTCATGAGACCCGCTCCCTCCGGCCGGCAGTGGCTCACCTTGACAGGTGACCGGAAGAGGGAGAGGCTCACCGGACACCGTGCAGACGGGGCCCCGTGGGCTCTGCCTGACGGAGACTGCTGAGGATGCGACGTTCACACCTCATGGGCGTCGTGGCTGCGAGTCCCATCATCTCACTGTTCTCCCCTTTACTTTCCCGCTGAGGCAGGAGAGAGATAGGCATTTACGACTGGTCTCCAGTTTTCATTTCTTGGGGACGAGAATAAGTTGAACTTCAGGCTGGACACTTGGGACTGGCCTCCTGTTTGCATTTCCTGAGATGGGGCTTAGGTGGGCTCCGGGCTCTGGCATTTACCACCAGCCTCCTGTTTGCTTTCCGAAATGGAAGTAACGACAGAAACAGAGGAAGCAGTTTTGTCTCCTCTGGACACCTCAAGGTAACAGACACAGCAGGAACAGAGAAGAGCTAAACCTTGTTCAAGTAAAGAATCAAGAGATTTTCCCGCTCTTTGGGGCAAGAGAAACACTACACATGCGCAGAAAGCTTCCATGGGGGCCAAAAGTCAGGGGACAATGCCAGGCCATAAAGAGTCTTGCTTCTCCCAGAAGCCTTTGTATCAAGGTCCCTCTTGGTTGAGAGGTGTGTGCACACCTAGGGGCAAGGTTCTGAGACAAATCAGCCAGGGGTCAAAGCAGGATGTCTGGCCAGAGGGAAGACAAAGAACTGCCCTACGGAGCTGGTTTAACTGCCTCTTTCCTGTGCTCCTCCTCACTAGGGTGGACACTGACATCCTTTCTCTCCCAGTGTTCATCTCAGCCTTGCTTCCATTTTATCTAAACTAACAGTTTCTCAGGGATTCTTCCGCTTCCTGCTGCACTATGTCTCCAATAATAAACTTTGTACCTGCATTTAGAATTTTTGCTTCCATGAGAAATGCATTTTTCACTCCGGGCAAGAGCCAGGGGAAAATCGCTTTTAGCCTCTAGCCGTTGCTGGTCTGGTGGCTAGGATTCCTGGCTTTCATCCCGGCTGTGTTTGTGTGTTCAGTTGCTTAGACATGTCCAACTCTTTGCGACCCCATAGACTGTAGCCACCAGGCTCCTCTGTCCATGAGATTTTCCAGGGAAGAATACTGGAGTGGGTTGCCATTTTCTACTTCAAGGGAACTTCTAGAGGATCGAACCAGTTTTGCTTGCATCTCCTGCATTGGCAGGTGGATTCTTCCCACTAGGAAGCCAGGCTACTCAGGTTCAATTCCTGGGCAGGGAATGAATATCTCACTTCACACCACTTCTCCCTGCTGCCTCACTGAGATCAGAATTGTGGGACAGGCTGACTGTGGAGTTCCTGAGGATAGTCTACTGCACAGGTTAGGAGTTTAAGAAGAGGCTAGTGAGTCATGAGTCTTCCCAGGTGACGCTAGTGGTAAAGAACCTACCTGCCAATGCAGGTGGACGGAAGAGATGCAGGTTCAATCCCTGGGTAGGAAAGATTCCCTGGAGGAGGGCATGGCAACCCACTCCAGTATCCTTGCCTGGAGAATCTGATGGACAGAGGAGCCTGGTGGGCTACTGTCCTTAGGGTTGCACAGAGCCAGTCACGACTTAACCTACTTAAATGCAGTGAGTCATCTCCTAAAGGAATACTTGAAGTTACCGACATGAGTACAATTTCCCAGGAAGACTAGGCAGAGTGGGAAGCAGAGATGGCTGGGTAGGGAGAACTGAGAAAACACTGCTATTTAAGCAGCAGGCAGAGGAGGAATCTGCCAAGAAGCAGGCAGGATCAAGAGGTAAAGTTCAAGAGGCTCCTGTCACTAAAATAATAATAGAGAAGAGAGTGTCAGGAGGATATGGTCAACATGGTTACATGCTGCAGAGGTAAGCAGAGCTCATGTGGGATCAGCACTGAAAAGTGTTCATTGGATGTGACAATTTGAAAATCTTTGAGAGTCTCAGGACAGAAGCCAGTGCATCTGAGACTGAGAGAGAGAAGGAAAGACTGTAAATACAGGTTTCTCCTGGGGCAGCTAGTGTCTGTGAGGGGAAGGAGAGATAGGGTCATAGTGGAGATGAGCCAAGGGTCAAAGGAACCTACATGATAAGCTTGCAGAAGGACATTTACTATAGGTTAACTTCAACTCAATGGAACATCCAAATATTGATCGAAGGTCCAAAGGGGAAAATGTTTTTAAAAGCCCAAAACATGATAAAACATGAATATAAGGACAGTGGATGAAATCTGTTAGTAAATAATGAATATGTTATTCAATAGTGTGAAAATTCAACTCTTTTCAAGTCAAAACAAGAAATGAGAAAGAAGATGGTAAAAGTTATCATTGTGGCAAGACCTGTGGCTACCACCTCAGAGTTACCCTTCTTGTTTCCTTCTTAAACCCAATTCTGAGAGGAGCACATTCATATTTCCAGATACTGTCATTGCTTTATGTATGTCGCCTCATAGTTCTTCCAGTTCTTGTTTTATCCACATTGTTCAATATATTAATAGCAGCCAGTAGATATTTTTGGCTACCTAATTTTTAATTAATTAAAATTAAGCAGAATTAAAAATTCAACCCCTCAGTCCTACCAGCCACATTTCAGTACCTATTCCCACATGTTGTTAGCAGTTTCAATATGGGACTGGAGGAGGAAATGGAAACCCACTCCAGTGTTCTTGCCTGAAAAATTCCACGGACAGAGGCCTGGAGCGCTACAGTCCAAAGGGTCGCAAAGAGTCAGACACGACTGAGAGACTGAGGATGCACTGTATTGGACAGGGCAGGTATTGAACTCTTGCAGCATTGTAGAAAGTTCTACGGGGCTGCCCTGCTGCCTATATTCCAAGGCTATATTGTTAGATGCATATATGTTTGTGTTTGTCATGTCTTCTTCATCTATGTTCATTTTATCAATTCATAAAATATTTCCTTATCCCTTATGGTGTTTGGGACCTTAAATTCTATTTGTCAAAATTTAAATTTGCAACCCAGGCTTTAGTTGATTTACATTTACCCAAAGAATCTTCTCTACATTACTTTACTCCCTGCCATATCTGAATTTTCATAATCTACACAAATGTTCCAGGTTTCTGGCCAATTGAAGTGATAAGGGAATCACAGAAAATGGGGGATTTTTTCACACAAAATGGAGCCAATCAACTTTGTTGAACAAGTCCACTAAGAAATTCATGCTTGTTGATTCAAGTCAGTTTCACTTTCAGATTTATTCAGCACTTTCTTTCCTGCTTTTGTTGATGTCTTACTGAATGTCACCATCTACTGGTAAATAGTGAGAAAATATACCATTTTCTTGGAGAAGGCAATGGCACCCCACTGCAGAACTCTTGCCTGGAAAATCCAATGGACAGAGAGCCTTGTAGGCTGCAGTCCATGAGGTCACTAAGAGTCGGACACGACTGAGCAAGTTCACTTTCACTTTTCACTTTCATGCATTGGAGAAGGAAATGGCAACCCACTCCAGTTTTCTTGCCTGGAGAATCCCAGGGACGGGGGAGCCTGGTGGGCTGCCGTCTATGGGGTTACACAGAATCGGACACGACTGAAGTAACTTAGCAGCAGCGTGCTATTTTCTTAAATCCCGTCAGTCCTTCTTGTAGGCTGAAAAAAAAATATTCTGCAGAGAGATTTCTATGTCAAACTCCTGTACCTTGTGAAAGTTACTTTATTTGGGGGAAAGAACATTGCAGATCTGATTAAGATAAAAATCTTGAGCTAAGAAGCTAATCCTGGATTTCAGGGTGAGCCCTGAATGTGATAATAAGTGTTCTTATCAAAGAGATGTAGGACTCTTCCTGGTGGTCCAGTGGTTAAGACTCTGCGTGTTCACTTCAGGAGGTGCGGGATTGGCGAGCTAAGATCCCGCATGCCTCAAGGTGTGGCCAATAAAGAAGGAGGTCATAGCCCAACACACACAGAAGAGACAGTGGTGTGAACATGCAGGCAGAGATAGGAGTGCTGTTGCCAGAAGCCCTGAAACACCATGGAACACCAGCAGCTACCAGCAGCTGGAAGGGCAAGGAATAGATTCTTCCTCAGGTTTTCCAGAGGAGTGTGACCCTGCTGATATCTTGAGTTCAGATATCTGGCCTCCTGAATGGTGAGAGAATAACTTTCTGCTATTTTAAGCCATCAAGGTTACGGTAACTTGTTTCAGCAGCCCTAGGAGACTACAGTAAGTCCCCTACATGTAAATGAATTTTGTTCTGAGAGCACGTTTGTAAGTCCAATTTTATCGTGAGTCCAGAAAAATTAGCCTAGGTACCCAACTAACACAAGAGGCTATATAGTACTGCACGGTAACAAGTTTATAACACTTGCCACACAATCATACATAAAAGTAAACATTTTTAGTCTTACAGTACTGTACCTTGAAGAGTGCCGTAAAACCTGAAACGTTCAGTGCGGCGCTGGCATTAGGGAGGCTGGCACTGACCGAGCGGCCAAGCGCCAGCTGCGTCTTCGCTGCCTCTGTGCTGGCTTCTGGGCATCCTGGACTTGAAGTAAAGATAGTGGACTCCTGTGCCTTGGGCTTCCCTGGTGGCTTAGCAACAAGGCATCCCCCGGCAGTGCTGGAGACGCAGATTCTATCCCCGGGTCAGGTAGATCCCCTGGAGAAGGAGGTGGCAACCCACCTCAGTATTCTTGCCCGGGAGATCGCATGGACAGAGGGGTCTGCCGGGCTGCGGTCCCTGGGGTCTTAGCAGTCTGACACGACTTAGTACTAAACCACCACCAACAGCCCTACTGTGCCCTGGTGCACTATACAGCAAAGGACACAGAAGCGCAAGCACTTAGAGAGGATGCAAGCACGTGACAGCGTACACCAGACAACGAACTCACTTTCGTAAACGCACGTTCGTGCCTTTAGTTCACAACATGAAGCTTCATATGTAGGGGACTTCCTGTAATGTATTCCCAGAACTCTCCTATCTTCTGCTCAAACCCAGAACTACAGCTGTATTCCTGCAGCGGGGTTTGTAATTTCTCAACTTCTTCCAACTTTAATTCAAAATATCTCTGCATCTCCACCTTTTCTAACTCCTCTTCTTTTGGTGTGATCATAACTGTCCTTCCTTCTGTCCATGGTTGACTTCTGTATTTTTATGCTCTGCCCTGGTTCCTACACTCCACAACCCTGGACCTTCAGTTGCCCTCTCTGAACAGTATTGCTTTGCTGTTGCTCTTTAATAATAACTATAAAATAGTTTAGATATTCAGAAGCATAGAAATAATATATCACTAGTGTACCTGTCACCTTACAAAGTGAAGCTCCCTGTGTCTCTCTTTCCAATCCAATTTACCTATCTTCCCCATTGCACTTTAAGTTCTTCTAAAAATAACACCAAAACAATTTTTTTAAAGTAAATAACGCACCAAAGCTTATAATAGAAAACCATTGTTCCCCAGGCCAATCCCCTGTCTTTAACCATTGCAACCCAAATGTAGGCAGTTTCAACTCACTTAGTTCTCTTTTACTGTTGTTACCTCTATATTTCAATATAGCATGCTTATATTGGTGCTTGTTTCTTTTCTTATTTGAAATATTTTTTACTGACTCCTTCCTATGAAATTTAAAGATAAGAGGCAGGGACTTCCCTGGTGGTCCAGAGGCTAAGACTCAAAACACCCAATGCAAGGGGCCCAGGTTCAATCCCTGGTCAGGGAACTAGATCCCACCTGCTGCAACTAAGATTCACAGGCTGCAATTTAAAAAAAAAAAAAAAGATTCCGCATGCAGCAACTAATACATGTCATAGCCAAATAGATTAATTGATTAAAAAAATAAAGATAGGAACTATGCCCACTCTTTTCCTGTCTTCTCAAAACAGTTATATCATGATTTTGGAGGGTTAAATCCATGCTCAATATTTATATTGGTATGACTACAGAGATACTGACAAAAGAACACGTTTCAACTATTTGTGTGTGTTTCTTAGCATCCATAAACATCTCATATTTTCTTTGGCTTAGTTTTCTATGTGCCTGATATTAACTAACCAATAGAACTACACATCTCCTTTTGGTGTGATTCTCTGTGTCATTTAAAGAGAGTCCTGCTGCAGTCTGAGTTTCCTCTTCTCTGGACTTGATATACACTGTTGCTTGGAGATAGTCCTTCCACATCCTCCTTGGAACATCCTTTTTCTCTCATACTGGTTCTTCTTTTTCTATTTGTGTCCTCCTGTATTTGGATACACAACATCCTTCAGAGGCTTTTTAAAAAAAATAATTTTGTTTATTTATTTATTTTTGGTGTACTAGGTCCTCGTTGCTGCACAGCCCCTCCTCTAGTTGCAGCAAGCCGAGGCCCACATCTGGTTGCAATGCACGGGCTTCTCATTGCAATGGTTTCCCTTGTTGCAGAGCGTGTGCTCTAGGGTGTACAGGCTTCACTAGTCATGGTGCACAAGTTTAGCTGCTCCGCAGCATGTGGGATCATCCCATATCAGGGATCAAACCCCTGTCTCCTGCATTGGCAAGTGCAATCTTTACCACTGAGTCACCAGGGAAGCCCTCCAATAGCTTTTTTAGCAGAAATATAGCTGATACACTCTTGAAAGTGTAGAATTTTTACACTATCTTTATTTTGTCTTAGATTTGATCTGTAGTTTGGCTAGGTATAACATTTTTGCATGGGAATAACTTTCCCTCCAAATTTTGAGGCATGACGCCATTGTCTTCAAGCTTCTAGTCTTGACTCCTGGTCTTCCATGCATACCTTGTCACACTTTTCTGAATGTCGAGGGTATTGTCTTTATGTCCAGTGATTTAATTTCCACAGTGATGTGCCTTCCAGTGGGTCTTCCTTTAGACCCTGGCCAAGCATGTAGTGAGCCCTTTGTCCTAAGAAATTCATATGTTTCAACTCCGAGAACTTTTCTATCTCTGTTTTCTTTCTTCTCTCCAGAAATCCTATTTGTTAGAAAGTAAATTCTTAGAAGGAGCCTATAATTTTCTTATCTGTTCTATCCTATGCTTCTACACATGTCAGTCTATTTTCTGAAAGATAGCTAAAAGTTCATCTCCCAATATTTCTACTAAAGTTGAAATATATGCCATGGTATTTCTATTGTGATGAGTTCATTTTGTTCTTTGAATATTCCTTTTAGAATAACGTTCTTATCCACCATAGAACATTCCAAGCAGTGAGAGCTGCATTGGCAAAAGCCCTGAGATGGCAAAGAGGAACCAGAAAAAGTTCTCAGTGGCTGGAGGGAAGGAGGTGAGGAGGCTGGAGAGGTAGAAAGGGGTCTGAGCTTGCAGGGCTTTGCAGGTGACATTTTGGAGTTTGCATTTTTATCCTGAGGGAACAAAGAGACTTCTTCAAAGACATCTTAGTGTGAATTTTCTCCGAGCAGATATTGAAGGAAAGAATGGAAATAGAGTTACCAGCTGGAAATGTATGGCAGCAGCCAAGGTAAACAGGATGGGTGGATGTGGACCAGGTGGCTCTAGAGATGAAGGGGAGTGGGTGGGCTCATGAGTGTTTTGTGAAGAGCATCTGGGAAGGTGGTGCCATTCACTGAAACGGGAAAGATGCAGAAGGGTCAGTCTGTGTCAGGGGCAGAGGTTCAAGAGGTGAAATTGGACATGGTGAGTGTGAGGTGTCCTGAGTCATCCAGAGGGAGAGATCAGGAGGCAGGTGGATATGACTCTGGATCCCAATAGAGATCAGCTCCAGAGGCAGGAACTGGGGAGTGGCCATCATATGGCCTGTTCATTCATTTGGTATCTTAAATGTCACATCCACAGAGCAGCCTGTCCTCCAGCCTAGTCCTGGGGAGGGAGCTGATACCACCAGGTGGGCAGTCCTCATTGCTCTTCAATCCCACTGGAGATGCAGTAGAGCTCTGTGGCTACCCTGGCATCTTCCACTGAGTTGTGTCCCAGGACACTGTACCGCACGCATGGGACAGAGAGGGGACTGGGGGCTGAATCCAGGCACCATGGGACCCGGGCCTTCCCTGCTCACACCCTGACATACAGTGCTGAGGGGGGTCAGGGGTGAGTCTCCCAGGCCCCTGACACCCTAGACTCGGCAGGTGTCTGGAGCAGGCCTGGCTTCACCCATGAGCCCGGGGCCCAGGCAGGGCCAGGCACAGAATCCAGGTCCTGAGCCCAGGTGTGCCCTCCAGGGGGTCCCAACTGCTGGGTGGGGTGGGGCCCTGCAAGCTTGGCCCCAGACCCAGAGGGGCTGGAGCAGTTCTCACAGGAGCCCAGGGTCCAGGGAACATGGACACAGATATTTCTAGAGGGCTCCTTGCTCAGCACGTTGAGAACAGGGCTCTTCAGTGAGTCTACGAGCTGTCACTTTGTCCTGGGTCCCTGGTGCCACAAACCCTACAGAGGAGCCCAAACTCAGCCCCATCCTCCACCTCCTGCACATTCCTGCTCCCCAGACCAGCTGCCCTCCACTCCTCGGGCTGGGGCTCCATGTCTCCCCACCCTAGCCCCCCTCTCGTGTCCTTTTCTGCTAAGACACACCCTTCACCCTCCACTCAGACCTGGTGTCCTGCCGGCCCCATGTCCTCCACTCTGCTCCAGACACCTGCCCTCCATCTGTGGACACGCCCTGCAGATGTACTCATGGTCAGTTCATGGCTCTACCTCCCTTCAACTGAGAGTTTCTCAAGGACCGGCCCAGCATTGCTCACCTGGGTCCTCAGCCTCTCATCTAGCCTGGCCCCGAGCAGGTGCTTCTTAAACATCCGCTGAGCTGGAAGCACCCATATGTGGCCACAGCTCCCAGCGTCCAGCCCACCTCCAGGGACCCCTCCACTCCGGTGAGCTCCCAGCCCCAGCACATGGCTGCCCCTTCTGTGGGGTGAAGCAGAAATGGGGGGCTGTGTTGGGCCTGTGGGTTTGAGTTCAAGGTCCTTCTCTCATTTTTTTTTTAAATGTTTCTCATTGGCTATTTGCCACTTTCCTGTCTGAAGGGAAATTCCAGAGGCTTCTCTGTAAGTGGCTGTTAGTCCCTTGGGTACATATCAACAATGGCTTTCTACTGAGCCTAAATGCGTAATGTGTCCGCCTGGTGCCTCAGATGGTAG